TAAAGTACTGAATCATAATGTTTACAATAACACTAATTGATTTAAAAAAATCATTCTTTTGAAATCAGTGATATAACAGCCCAACGCGTTTTTGTTTTCTAGCATGCCCCAAACAAGATACAACTTAGACATGTCTGAGAGTGAGGGTAGTGTTAACCTCCTTTGAAAATTGAGTACAAAACATTCGAAGCTACTTCAGAAAGTGGTTTGGCTACATGTGGATGAACCTCCAACACAGCACAAACATTTTACAACTCAAGGGGAAAACAAGCAACTTTTTTTTCACCTTTCAAAGTAAAAGAACATCTCAAAGTTCAACCAATGACGACTAAGAGGAACAGACACAAGCAACTGGTTTTGTCTGGTCTCGAGGTCATTGCCTTACTTGGTCAAGTATTACTGGGCAAACTGCTAGTTGCACTTTGCAAAAAGCAAATGGTGAAATGATGTTTCTGAATACTGTTTAGCCATTCATGTCCAGTTTGCATCCATTTTAAAGGGCCTGTGACATTAAATTTTGCAATAAACATGAATGCATTTTTGAAAACATAACATTAATAACATATTGCAAAACAAATTTCATGCCTCTGAGATGAACAGTTGTTGAGATATTTGCACATGAAGAAACAGGAAGTGATGTCAAAGGGGAATGTCTGCCTGTTAACAGAGCATTGTTACAACAACTGATAATACAGACTTTAGAGAAGAATTTGAGGCTTCATTAGATTATTTTGCGTTACTATTAAACACAGATGATGAAGCGTTAACGTTTATATGATACTGTTTTAATAAATAAAGACCAGAGTTTAATTTATTAATGAGTTCCCCTTTGTTGTCACTTCCTGTTTCACTTTGGCTAAGCCAAATCCAAAAGAAAATAGGCCAGTTTTGTGACAAAATGGGTAAAATCATGTGTATCATGCCAAGTTTCTTAAGTATAAATATGTTTTCTWTGGGTTTTTGTATTTGAAGGATATGCATTTCACAGGTACTTTAAACCTCTGCTAACTCTTCTAGAATAAATATCATGCTAGATGTTCTTGCTAATTGTGTCTTTTAAGCACTTTGAGAAATAGTGATTGTGGATCATTCTGCCAATTTGTCTCATACCTAGATCATATGCAACTTAGAATTTTAGTCTCTGATCTGAAAGTCAGACTAAAGCAAGCAGAACAAAAAAGACTGAAGTTAATCTATTATAAAGTTTATCCTCATTTGACCATCTTAGAGTTGATCACAGTTCAACAATCCCATAAGTATTGAAAACAAAAACGTTGTGTTTTGTCTTTCAACAGTAAAATTCAGAAGTACTCTCCAACTGAGTCAGCCAAGGTGTACGATAAGACTGTGAACAGAAAAAGCAACATTCATTTCAACCCTCGACAAACCATGGACTTCATCTCCAACAACATTGCTCACGCCACACTGTCAGAGGATGTAAAAAGGAGGATAGTCAAACAGTACTTAGACGTAAGTAATAAAGAACATGTACAACTGATTGGGAGTCAGTTTTTCAGCACATTTTCTGTAGGTTTCACTTTTTTTCTCTCTAAGATGTCGCTTAACTGCTGTTGTTTCTTTAATGCACATAGTTTAAGGTTCTGATGGAACATCTGGATCCAGATGAAGAGGATGAGGAGGGAGAAGCATCTGCCAGCGCCAACATCAGAAACAAAGCCATAAACGCCCTATTAGGAAGCTCAGGCCCCTTGTCGGGTCCTAGTCCGCGCAATCAGGCGGGACCAGAAACTGATGACGACGACAGTGATATCGACGAAAGGACTCCAGGGGTGAGATTAAGAAATTTATTCATGATTTAGTTGCAGTTAATTTTTTTTTAATTCTTTAATTTCTTCTTCTCATCAGTCATCTCGAAGGTCAAGGAGAGCGGGTGATTCCTCAGATCCAGGCCGCATGAGCGAGATAGTGGAATCAATGGATGTGATCGCCCTCTGCTGCCCCAAATACAAAGACCGACCACAGATAGCTCGAGTCATCCAGAAAACTTCCATCGGATACAGCATCCACTGGATGGCGGGCTCCTATTCGGGGCCCTGGGCAGAGGCCAAGAAACGCGATGGACGCAAACTAGTGCCTTGGGTGGACACTATTAAGGAGTCAGACATCATTTACAAGAAGATTGCCTTGACCAGCAACCACAAACTGAGCAACAAAGTTGTACAGACTTTACGCTCACTATATGCAGCGCGGGAAGGAGGGGCTAGCTAATGGCTCCTGTTGGGTTTTTTTTTTGTTTGTTTTTGTTTTATTTTTGTTTTCTTTGCTCCATTTCTACTTTATGAAAATCCTCCTCTTCCCTGCTCCTGCTCCTCCTTCTCAACCTATCACCTCCAACAACACAGCCAAACTTCACTGGATTCCTACCTAGCCCCTCTTCTTCCTCATTTTTGTAAGAGAACACAAGAGGGCAAGAATATTTGACACTACATACTTTTACATGAGTTATTCTTGCAAAAATGATACAAAACACAAGACTGATGTTCAGAGGAAAGAATCCTGAAGGCATTAAAGGAATAATTTCCCCAAATTATTTCTTAAAAGGCTAACAGAGGCGAGACCTGGAGGGAAATGTTTTGTCAACATTGTTGTGGGAGCTCCTTCGCTGTTGTGCAGCAGATTCTAGTCGCTCATTTCTACTCCCACTGTATTATAGTTTAACATGACGAAAAACTAAAATGTTTATATCTCTGAATACAAAAAAGCTGTAAAAAAAAGAATAAAACCTTAAGTGAATGTTGGAAATTAGTCTTTTTGATGTTCTTATTAAAAGTGTTTTTTGGAATTTATTATACTACTAGCACCCTGATGGTTTTTTTTTTCTTTTAGCTTTTAGATATTTGAGAAACAAAAAAGAAAATAAGAAATTTTATTTTTGTTCACGTTTTATTTGTTCATTCTGTAAAATGGCACAGTCCTCTGAATATAATTTATTCTATTTCAAACTACGCATGCAGTATATGTGGCCTATTGCAGGAGGATATTTTGTAAATGTAGATTTTGTTGTATTAGGTCACCCTAGTAATAAGAGGAAAAGGGATTCATACCCTTTTGGTGGAACAAATACTGCAATAAATTTTCTACTTCTCTTTGTCACTTGTCTGCTCAAAGTGTTAATCTGAACTTTTCATTTTACAAATGGAAAAATAAATCAGTAAAACTGGAAATGGAAAAACAAGACTTAAAGAAGGAATGAGCATTCAAATGGTACCAGATATTTTCTGTATCATTTGACTTTTGTATTATATGTCCATGTTTGATGTTAGAACAATCAAAAATAAGACAGTTTGTAGGTTATCAAAAATTTTATTAATCCGTCCCTCTGTTTAAATTGATACATGTTTCTTTGTGATTTTTATTGGTATTTGTTAGTGCAGTTGTTTTAAGGCTTTGGTTGCTTTTTCACACATTTTCTCTTCAGTCCCTGTTTTCTGGTCCTGATGGTATAATGTGAATTGTGTGTGCTTTAAAAATGCTAAAAGTGGACAAGTGGAGGACAAAAGTAGTGTGAGATTGAAGAAACTGTCAGAACTTCATTCTTTATTGAGTATCTAAGAATCACATTTTGAAGGAATAGGAAAAATTCAGCAAACTTTATTCATGATGCAAAGCAACTAAATATTTAATTTAAAAGTTTGTTTTAATTTATTTGAAGTTGGATGCTGTGTAAACACAACACACTTTGATGCTGTAGAGCCTTGACAGATTCACAGACAATAGTTAAGTGACCTAATAACAACAAAATATCCTTAAAAGGCAGAGAAAGCTGACAATTTCTACAAAAATAATTACATAATAATAATAATAATAATGATAATAATAATAATAATAATAAATGACCAGAAAGTCTGAAGAAGGTTTGATCAAGACCACTCTAAAACATTACCAGAATGCCTGGCTCTTTGTAAGGAATATCAGAGATGACTGTTCAAATATTTTTGTTGTATGAAAGTATGTCAAGCCATTTTAGCATATAATTTGTTTCGTCTGACTAGCTGTAATTGCATTCCAGATATCTAAAAAAATGAGTTTTGACTAAGCATCCCTACATTTTGACTATCTGGAATGTTAATTTAAGATATCTGTATTAACATTCCGACTAGTCATAATTCCAATTCAAGATATCTTAAAAGGAATTTTGACTAGTCATAATTACAGATCTAGATATCTTTAATTTAGTTGTGACTAGTCATTATTTGCTTTCAAGATATCTGTAATTGAATTTGAGCTAGTTAAAATTTTATTTGTGATATCTAAAAGTACATTTAAGATATCTTGAATTATGGAGTAATTTGAGATATTATGACTAGAATTATTAGAATTATGACTAGTCAAAACTAAAATTGAGATATCTTCAATTTACTTTATGACTAGTCATAATTCAATTGTAGATATCTGAAATGTGTATTTCAGATAGTCAGTAATTCATTTAAGATATCTTGAATTGAAATCTCCATACAAGTCAATGGTAAATCTGACGTCATTTCGACTAGTCAGAATGTAATTAGAGATATCTCAAATGTGTATTTTGTCTAGTCGAAATATAATTGGAGATATCTTAAATCGCTAAAACGTCTAGTCATAAAACAATCTGAGATATCTGGAATGTCAGGGCGGTAAAACCGAATTTATGTTAAAACGGCTTGCCATAGATATTTTGACTAGTCAAAATATAATTAGAGATATCTTTAATAACAAATATGACTAGTCATGATTCAGTTTCAGATATCTGGAATGGAAGTGTCGTGAATTCGATTATATGCTCAAATGGCTTGCCATACCTTAGTCTTCGCACTAAAACTCAAGTAATCTGATGGATTTTTTAAAGGAGTATCAGAAAGTGTGAACACAGTTTAAAATGTTTGTTTTTGCACGAGATAACAATTCTATTGAAAAAAAAAATGTTTTCTGAAGGTACTTTAAAACGATCTGCAAATAAGATTAGAGTCGGGAAATCTAAAACATTTTCTCGAGTCAAAGCGAAACATTTTGGACCTAGGGGCTTGTCGTAGTTTTATGATGTCACGGCCGGGGTTTGGATTGTTTTGGCGGGTTTGAATTTTGTCGAAGGTTTGATTCAGTTACAGCTGTGAAAAATATCGAAAATGGAGCGGTAAGTATGAACGTATTCACAAAAAACATTCACGCTTATTTTATAAATAGTGAAGCTGGATGACAAACGTGCTATTTACTCGCTTTGACACATGTTACTTGTCTATCACTAGCTGTCGCTAGCAGCAGCAACCGTTAATAGTATGTCGGCTACCACAACAAAGCTGAACGTCGTCTTAAAAGTTATATCGCTGTTTTTTGTTTTGTCCCACACTTAATTTTACGAACTTAATGGTTACGTTAAGGTCACTCTAACAACATTGTCTAGTAATAGTTGTTAGTGAGAATAGTCACTTTTATTTACATCCTAACACAGCTGTTAGTGCAAAAAACTTTAGCCAAGTCACGCTAATTAATATTCTGTATTATTATGATTATGTACTTCCAGAAARGGTAGTAAAATAACGTTCTAAATAACGTGGTGTTTGTTTGTTTGTCTGTATGATTGTGTCAGTGGAAGACCGAGCCGAGCAGGAAGCTGCAGACCAGTAGCGTCGGAGCTACCGTTACGGGTGCAGGACAACAACAGGGGTAGCATGTACGCAACACCACAGAGGTTTGTATCAACGTAGAAACACACAGCAGTAGATATAACGCAATCAGATGTACAGATGGAGCTAAAGTATTTTAGGATGGTTCGCTGAGACGCCTCCCAGCTGATTTCATAAAGGTTTGCTTTGCCTCTAATCAATTGCTGTCTGTTATCAAAATATCTTGTGAACCGCTGTATGGATTTTAATTTATTGATTGATTGATTTTATTTAGCAATAATATTGAATGTACATACACATCTAGTACATATATTATTAGTACTTTGATAACACAAGAAAGTGAGAAACACTTCTTTCCATTGTGGTCCAAAAATTAAGTGACAGCGTTATATGGGGGTATGTTGCGGGTGTTTCAGAGAAAATAAGACGTTTTTTTTTCTAAACATGATGTCCCAGTGGCTTTCAAACCCCAAAACACATTACGGCAAAGGCTGGTTCACCCCAAAGATCCGGTGCCCCGGCACAAACAGAGCAATGTTGTATATGCTGTTAAGTGCCAGGGGGACTGCGACCAGTTACACATCGGGGAAACAAAGCAGCCACTGTTCAAAAGAATGTCCCAACACAGACGAGCTACATCTAATGGCCAGAACTCTGCAGTTTTCACTCATTTACAGGCCAGCGGTCACTCTTTCAGAGATGAGGATGTTCTCAAAAGAAGCCATTTTTGTGAAGAAAGACTGTCCATCATTAAACAGAGGTGGAGGCCTCCGTTTTCAGTTGTCCCCCTCCTACAGCGCTGCTATTGCCAGTATCACTCCACCCCCCGTTAACAATAGGTGTTGATTAGGTGTCAACAATAGCCATGGTGAGTATCAGTCACATGGAGGCAGGACTCAAAAGCCTGAATTTTGCCTGAAACTCTCAGACTGAAGAAGTCTCTTGGAGGAGAGGCGAAACGTTTCATTAGAGAAGAACCCGTCCAGAAGACCTATACAATTTTTTTCTTTTTGATTTTTTACCTGGATTACTGAGATGCATCAGGATATATGGGGGAGAATATAGACACAATGATGAGAAGCAAGATACAATGATGGAGAAAAATGTCATTAAGTTTATGACAGTCAGAAAGGTATGCAGATACAACAGAACAGATAAGAATATGAGAAGATGAGTTTGAGGACATGGTGAAGGGATTTAACTCCTCTTCACGGAGGCTGTTTAGTAGAAGATCTTTTACCTTTGATTTAAAATTCTCAATGCAGTGTATTGACTGTATAAGTGTTGGGAGATCATTCCATGCTTTGTCTCCAGAATAGCTGAAAGAAGTCTGACCGAAGGATTTTGAGGTGGGGATAACTAGAGACAGTGGGCCAGGTCGAGTGTTGTGGCACTTTTCATTTACAGTGATCAGGGGTCAGATTTTTAAAGGATTGTGTGGAAACCATACTAAAAATGAACGAACGCCCAAAAGGCGAAAATGGCGTACGCCAAAAAAGATTCAGATTTATGAAACTGTGCTAACGCACGTTTCTGCGCACCTTTAATTTATAAATCACAGCCGCACATCAGAGTTCGCGCACAAGGTCCCGCCTCAGGTTCTGCCCTCTACATGCCCACACTCAACCATAAAAAGTCAATGTAAAGTACCTCATGTTAAGATGTATTTAAATCAGTCAGCTGATCAATGTCAAAAGAAGTGATTGGCTCAGACGCGCTCCGTCGTGCGTCTGGAGGATGACGGGTGCTGCTCACGTGAACAGAATGTCTGTAATTGATGGATTTTCCCTGATTTTGCAGGTTTACATATGTTTAGAGTAATTAATGATTTTGATCAAAAACTCAGCTTCAAATTAATTTTCTCTCAGAGCCTGCAGGATGATAAAAACAATAAATAAAATTAAATAATTCAGATAAAGTTAGAAATAATATAACATATAATAATAATCATTTTATTTGAAAAGCACCTTTCAGGACACTTACAGCATTATATCATCATATAAGAATGTGTGAAATTACAGAGACAAGCTGGCATGAGTTAGAGAGCATGGATTACTAATGAAGTTAAAATGGATATGCTAATCTAAAGAGATGTGTTTTCAAATTAGTCTTGAACACAGGAAAAGAGGTGGTGTTTCTTAGGTCAGGTGGTAGAGAGTTCCAGAGGAGAGGTGCAGAAGAGGTGAAGGCCCTGCTCCCCATGGTGGAGAGGCAGGCAGTGGGTACTTGGAGGTTTAGGGAAGAAGAGGATCTAAGAGAGCGGGAGGGGATGGAGATGTGTATGAGGTCGGACATGTAAGGAGGGGCAAGGAATGAGAGATCATATTAGAAGCAGCACTTAGGTCAAGGAGGATGAGGATGGACAGGAGACCAGAGTCGGCAGCAAGGAGAAGATCATTGGTGATTTTTTTACGAGGGCGGTTTCGGTGCTGTGGTCGGGGCGAAAACCAGATTGAAACTCCTCATAAAGGTTATTGTTGGAAAGGTGAGAGTGGAGTTGACTGGCAACAACCTTTTCCATAATCTTGGAGATGAAGGGCAGGTTAGAGATTGGACGAAGATTACTGAAGTTACTTGGGTCGAGACCGGGTTTCTTGATGATGCGGGTAATGGCTGCAGATTTAAAAGCTGATGGAATAACAAGTTTAATTCAACAAATAATTTCACCACTCGTCTCCTAACATGCACACTGGTGAGGGTGGGCGCGCCCTGCGCGTACCCAAAGCATGATGTCATGCTGTTGAAATGTCTCTTGTCGGGGAGGGGTCTGTGGGTCAGGGTCGTGAGGAGGAGGAAAGAAATTAATGAGTTGCGTGAACTTTTATTTAAGATTTAAGTTTTTTTTTTTTCAAAGCTCCTTCTGGCTCAGCAGCAGAAGCATAAATGAATATGAATATTTCAGAAATTAATTTGTGTGTAGAATAAATAAACACAGCCACTTTAAGATTACTTGGGACAATAAGGATGTTAATTTCTACATGTCTATTTGTAAACATAATTAATAAAGTTGAGTACTTTTGGGATTGTTTTTAAAATATAGACTAACATGTGGAACCAATTCATTTGTTTACAAACTTGCTTTCTTTGCAGTAAACTACTTTCTTTTGGAAAGCTCAGCATGTCAAAATCAGCATCTGTGACCTCTGAAAAACGGACCACATTTTTTGGTGCCAGGTATGTGAATGTTATTTTGTGAAACTTTGTTTGTTATATCTGTCTACTATACTTTAATAGTGAGCCAAATAAAGTAAAACATTACTGCAGGACTAGTGGAGCCAGCATGCCTCGGAGCAGCATCGTGGGGTTTGGAGGAACTGAGAAGATCAAAGATACCAGACCGCTCCATGATAAGACATTTGTTCAGCAGTGTATCCGGCAGCTGCATGAGGTAAGCTGGTTAGAATTAGCCATAATTGTAATAATTGTGGATATTACTGCTGTTTGACAACAACGATTATTCTGTTCTATTTTATGTTTAATATGTTAAATGCAGTTTATACAATTTTCAATAGCAGTGCATATTTAATGGATTATCTCTTAAGATATTTATAACAAAGGGGGAAAAGTAAACCTGCAGCTACAAGTATATGAGCTGCTTGATGTGCTTTTTCGTTTAGAGGTATAGTTGCTGCGTTGTCTTCTACAAATATATTGTTTCATGATTTTTTATTGTTTCTTAATAACATTAAATAACATTATRTTGATTAAATGCTAATCTTAATGCCTTCTTGCAAAGAATGAGGAAAAAGTGTTGCTTTTGTCCAACTTGATTTTTCTCTCTCTCTCTTTCAGTTCTTAACTGAACAGGGTTTTCCAGGCACTTTATCAGCCAAAACTCTACAGTCACCTTCCACCAAGGAATTTGTGAAGATTTTTGAGTTCATTTACTGCCAGCTTGATCCAACCTTTGAGATGCCAAAGTCCAAAGTTGAGGAGGAGGTTCCAGCTCACCTAAAAGGCTTAGGGTAAGAATGTTGTGTTTTCCTGGAAACAGGAACCGTTAAAATCAAATCTATGTTTAGATTTTCCTTTAGTTGAAATAAACATTGCTAATTCTTTGTCTGTCTTCCCGTGTGTCTCGTTAAAGGTATCCATTTGTGCTTTCCAAGTGTTCAATGTATTCTGTTGGAGCTCCTCATACCTGGCCTCAGGCCCTCGGTGCTCTCATGTGGCTAATTGATAATGTCAAGGTTCGAAGCAAATAATAACCAGGTGGTATGCTAACACAGTTTATTAAAGTAAGAGTTTTCAGTCTATTCATTAGCCTAAATGTCTGTTTTAGATCCAGTGGAGTTTATCTAAGCAGGAGCGGCTGTTTCCTGACTCCTGTGAAGATGTCAACAATATGGAGGAGGGAGCTGAGTACAGAAAGGTATTTTGACTGAATTAAACAGCAGTGAGGGGTCTAAACCCTTCTCATACGAAATGTGTACAAACGTAAAAAATTTATTTATTATGGGTGTCGAAAGCTGCAAACCATAACTTATTATTAATTACACTTTTTATGACAGTAATTTTCTTTGAAAATCAATCTTTACAATAGAGCTGTAGCAGTTTTTGTCAGAGTCGATGTTTAGTGTCCATTAATTTTCATTTTTTATTCAGCTTTTCCTGGACTACACAGCTGATTCATACGCCAAGTTCATGCAGGGTCAGGACACATTTGAGGAGGAGAATGAGGAATTCCTCACCAAATTGAGTAAGCACTGCAGCACTATAAATA